TTCAGAATTTGACTCAGAAGCCGAATGAGTGTTTTAAGGACTTCGCGCAGAGATGGAGGGGAGTAGCTGCAAGGGTACAACCTCCACTGATGGAGAGAGAACTGACAGACCTATTCATGGGCACGCTACAAGGACCGATCTTTGAGCGGTTAGCATCCTCAACCTCCACAGTGTTTTCTGAACTTGTCATGGCTGGAGAAAGATTAGAGAGTTTCATGAAGGCGGGAAAAATTCAGAATGCAGGCGAATCTGCAAGCGGGGTCAAGAAGCCTTATCAGGGTTTCGTTAAGAAAAGGGAAGGCGAAGCTAGTGCAGTGTTCATCAACAGAGGAAGAACTCATCAGGGTTATCACCATGTTGCTGCTGTCACTCCACAACAGTCGTTGTCCATTCCAGCAAATCAACCTGCGGTTCAACAAAACAGACAACAGCAATCCTATCAACCGAGACAAAATCAGTACCCAGGTCCGCAAAGACAGAGGAGGCCAGAAAGAAGATTTGATCCAATCCCGTCTACATACGCCAAGTTATTGCCATTCCTATTGAAAGGAGGTCTTGTTCAGCTTAGGGAAATGAGGGATCCTCCGGAGGTTCTTCCTTTTGGATTTGATGTCAATGCCAAATGTGAATTCCATTCTGGCTCCCCAGGCCATGACATTGAAAATTGCAAGACTCTGAAGCACATTGTACAAGATCTCCTCGATTCAAAGGCGATAAACTTTACCCGAAACACCCCCAAACATCAAAACTAATCCAATGTCAGCTCATCACTCAACAAATATGATTGAAGAATCCTATGGTCATCTCCAAAAGCCAGTGGTCCAAGCTGGCAGACATCTTCAACTTTAGCAGTCCTTAGGCGCTTTTATCATTTGCATTTGTAGTTTATTTTCTGTCAATTGCTACTTGTTATTTAAACATTGTTATGTTGAATGGTAACATTAATGAAATGATTATGCATTTTCCGAATTAATTATGTCGCATTCGCTCATTATTCCCACTTATCACAATCACAGACACATATATTTTTATCCACTCCACTTTTTCACTGTTGTTTAGCAATATTGGAGGGAGGATGACGAAAACGAAATACCCATAATTGCAAACCGTATGCTTTCGGACAAAATCGCGTCAATGATGTACAGGCATTGTTTCAAATCCCCTAAACACCGAAGATATAAGGAGTTAATCCCTAGTCAACCACTTCGAGCCTAGAAGTAGGAGTTTCCTTCGGATATTCAAACCCTTAACACTCAACCTGGGGCAGGGTAATGTTCAGTCAATCCAATCTTGCATTCGAATCGATAAAGCAAAATCCAAAGACATGACGGTTGTTCATCAATGTCTCATGACATGGCAGTCACTATCTTCCAACAAAATTCAAAAAAAATCAAAAGCCTGCTAAGTCAAGCATTTCAAAGGAGACTTAGGCAAAAATCAAGGCAATCCCGATGGATCTGACAAGCAAAATCAGTCCATGCAAAAGTTAGGGATCAAAATCAAAAGAGTTCCTCAAACCCTCAACAAGAACAAAATAAGATTCAGTGGTCACCCAAATCAAGGGGCTACTGACATCCATCAAAATAAGGTGACTGCCATCTCAGGCAAACCCTGAACCATTAAGCTTACACCGTCAAGGTAAACATGCATAGAATTAACTGAACGTAGGTATGGAGATCATCAAGAAGAAGGGGTGGGTACAAATTAAGTTTGAGCCTAATATCCTTTGTTCTATAACCGCGAACCAGACCACGTTACAACCCTCGAAAGACCTAATTGAGGCGGGGTTTATTCTGAAAGCATACTATTGTGAGGTTGCGTAACCTGACTCCTTACAATTTTGCTAATCATCAACATTGGTGTCGGTATCCTTGCTATATCTTTCACGCCAATCCAGTTAGCACAACGTTTAGACTAAATGGTCCATTCGTTTCACTCTCACGACACGTAATAAAAGACAATTCTTTCAAAAACTTGCATGGACTTTGCATTGAGATTACCATTCGTGAACAAAAATTTTGTTTACAAGTTAGTAGTTGGCATTAAAGAAATTCCAACACAAAGCAATCGAGCATAACTGGATTATTCAGCGGTCTGGACCAGAACCAAGTATACCATATAACCTATTAAACCTGGGGCATTGACATCCGAGAGCAGGAAATCAGTCAGTCTGAGGCAAATCCCCAGGCATCGGTCGACCATGGGGCAAATCATTCATGAAGCGGTTGATCAGAAGAGAATCATCTTGAGAATACTGATCAGGGGCAGGCCACCCAGAGTTTCTTTGACTTAAGAATAGGTCCCTCCGATGTTCAATCGAGGTAAGTTAAGTCGCTTCCACGCTCTTTCAAGGGAAAACTACTCCAAGAGTACATTGGAGCCAACTACCACAAGAATCGGCTAATCAATGATGAATCCATTTGTGGTACGAACTCTGGGGCAGACCATCTCGAGCACGTCTCATGGCAAGCCGCTCAAGCAAGTTCATTCTCGTCAACAACTGTTAAGTTTAAAACGATGTCAGGAAGTCAGGCTTGTCCTCCACTTTCCCACATCACCCAGAGCCCAATCTGCATTGGCAACTACCAAAAGTCCGCCACGTCGGCACCTGCATTCCCAATTACCCGTCTGCATCATATGCATCATACGCATCGCATTCGATTTCATAAGCATCTTGTACCATACGCATACCCAGAATCATATCATACTCCCCCAGCTCTTGCATCTCCGCGTGTTAGCATTTGCATTTGCATTTCCACTTGCTATGGAATATCATTATCATCAAGCATTCGCATATGCGAGCTCAGGTCTAGGATCGATCACGAAGGTTTCCAGGATCATCAGCCCAGACAGGGGCACCTCTTGTAAGACCGTGGGTTTCTCTTACTAGAGTCAGAAGATATCAAGACAAGATTGAGCCCAATCAGGGGCATTCTCCACAAGACTATGGGTATTCCCCATGAAGTTGTGCAACATTTTGAGCTTCAAAGCAACCTTCAGCCCAGTCAGGGGCATCTCTCGTAAAACCGTGGGTCCTCCCAAAAATCCAAGAATATCAAAGCAAAGTTCAGCCCAGTCAGGGGCACCTTTTCAAGACCATGGGTGTGTCACATGATGTATTGCAACCTCGTGGTTAATCGAGATCTTCAAATCAAACATTCAGCCCAGACAGGGGCATCTCCAATAAATTCATGGGCGTTCCCCTGTGAGTTATCTCCAGCATCTTCAGCGATAAGTGGCAATCTCTTCAGAGAAGCTTATCCGTCTTCAGCGATAAGTGGCAATCTCTTCAGAGAAGCTTATCCTTCATCAACGATAAGTGGCAATCTCTTGGGAGAAGCTTATACATCTTCAGTGATAAGTGGCAATCTCTTCAGAGAAGCTTATCCATCTTCAGCGATAAGTGGCAATCTCTTCAGAGAAGCTTATCCATCTTCCGTGATAAGTGGCAATCTCTTCAGAGAAGCTTATCCTTCATCAGTGATAAGTGGCAATCTCTTCAGAGAAGCTTATACATCTTTAGTGATAAGTGGCAATCTCTTTAGAGAAGCTTATCCTTCATCCGTGATAAGTGGCAATCTCTTCAGAGAAGCTTATCCATCTTCAGCGATAAGTGGCAATCTCTTCAGAGAAGCTTATCCATCTTCAGCGATAAGTGGCAATCTCTTCAGAGAAGCTTATCCTTCATCCGTGATAAGTGGCAATCTCTTCAGAGAAGCTTATCCTTCTTCAGCGATAAGTGGCAATCTCTTCAGAGAAGCTTATCCATCTTCAGCGATAAGTGGCAATCTCTTCAGAGAAGCTTATCCTTCATCCGTGATAAGTGGCAATCTCTTCAGAGAAGCTTATCCTTCTTCAGTGATAAGTGGCAATCTCTTCAGAGAAGCTTATCCATCTTCAGTGATAAGTGGCAATCTCTTCTGAGAAGCTTATCCTCCTACATCCTTTTGGTGTTAGGGTTGATCTTGCGCCGCTCCATCATCCTTTTGGTGATGGGTCTGGCATCCTTTTGGTGTCATGACTAGCGTTGTGCTCTCCATTATCCTTTTGGTAATGGATCCCTTACATCCTTTTGATGTAGGGGCAGTGTGTGTAAATGTACTATCATCCTTTTATTGATAGGCTTGTCACCCTTTTGGTGTCAAGTTTTCTCCGTTAACATCCTTTTGGTGTTAACAACCTTTGTAAGGTATCCAGTATTTCATTCCCAAACTTCCCTTTTCTTCTCGGGCAAATTCAGGGTTTTCTTTATATCTAATTGTCTTCTACCTTTAAAAAGTGAATTCTGTACCAATTCATCTTACTCGGTCTAAGCCAATTAGATAGGGGCATCTGTCATACCCCAAATTTGTCCTACCTTTTTTTTTACCAAGCAGTCGTATTGTTCCTTGATATTTCTCAAGATAATCCTTCGACCTTTGACCATGATCCTAAAGGTTGAATTCATGAAAGTTCTTTTGTATGCCCATAATGGTCTTGATCCCTGGTCAGCTATGTTGAGTTCTCGTGGAGACAAAGAAAAGATATGTCCTCATTTTCACGACAAATTAAGATGGGAGTACTTGGTTTCAAGTGCTTGTTAAGTCATATTTCGAGATAATACGAAGGCCGCGTAGTTAAAGAGGTTAAAGCTAGTTCAACTACAATGGAAGGCCGTGAGTAAAGCCTTTAGGGCGACATGAGTGACTTATTAAAATTAGTCTCGTGGATCAATGATATCAAAGCCATGTTGCAAGATGATTTCGAGTTTCGTTAAATTCACATCATAGGGAGACTTTTCAAGCTTTGTCATTAAAGCAAGAGGATGTGGGATCTAAGGGGTTCGGAACACATGTATTTCAAATCCAAGACTCATGTTATGCTTGGCGAATAAAACATGATACTTTATATCAGCATTGTGCTTTCAAAAGAACATAGTACATAAGCGTTTTTACATTCTCTCAAAATATAAGATATGTTGTTGATATTTGTATACATGAAAAGCGAGGTTCATAATATTTTCAGCTTTTCCCTGCATTGATTGCAGCCTGCACAAAGTCTTCACACCGAGTGAATCCACCGGACAAAACCTCCGGCAGAACCCCAACAATATCAAAGGCCTCCTGCAAATCACTAGCAGAATTAATGTCATTAAGCCAGGAAAGCATTTCCTTGGGGAAACTGAGTAGCTCTTTTACATTTGAGAGTCGCTCTTTCATAACCAATTCCCAGCCTTCTAGATTCCCACTTTCATCTTCACCTTCTGTCACAGAGGAAACCGCTGCGCCAGTACTTGTAGATGTTGCAATAGCCGATTTCTTGAACTTGAAGAAATGCTGCAATTGCTCAATCAAACCAGTGTAAACAAGCATTGGGCGAATAATAGACAGAAGCTCATCACTTTGCCCTGTTTCTGTTGTGGCACTTTGGCCTATACTTCCAGACCCTACAGCTTGTACAGAAGGTGAAACGGATGATGGACGAGCAGTGGTACGGCCATGTGTGTGCTGCATGTATGCATGATAAATTCCGCGCTGTAGGAAAGCACGGCGATGCTGCAGCCAAGACTCACAAGACTCTGAGAGAAGTGAATTCACCATCATAAATTGGACAGTTTCTTCTGTTCCCAATGTAATTTGGGTACCAGACAAAGAAGAGGGCTTCAGATCTGATGTAGACGAGGTAATGTATGCTGACACAGCCCTGGCCATGGTTCGACGTTGCAAGGGGCTTCCTTGATCAAGGAGATGGCGTGCCATTTGGAACATAAATGGGAGAAACCGAGAATTACTTTCCTGTCCCCCGCCTCGGCAATCCACACTGAACGATGCTCCTGTTGCAAACCGGGCTAACATCAGAACAATGTCATATGTCAGCAGGCGGAGCCTGTTTCCATCAGCTCGTCCAAGAGCATTAAGGTTGTCCCAGTGTTGGTCAACAAAGCGGATATACTGTGTCAATGGAACGGATGGACCTCTGACAGGGAATAAAGAATTACAGAGAGATTCATTGTTTCTAAGTGCTGCACCATCCCACTTTTTCTTGGGAATCTTCAAAGCAGCATCAGCTCTTTTGGCCTCTTGATGGCACTGGAAATGAATAGTATTAAAGTAACTTACAGTGGTGTAAACACACTCTCCGCGAGCACTTCCTGAAGTGGCTGCCCCTAGATTCACACGCTTACTATAAGAATAAGCACCCAGTAAATCAGTAGGTCTTAAACTGTATCCTTCCCGGCAGACCATGCATGCCAACCACACCAATCTTGCGAAAAGTTCTAGCTCCAAGACCCCAGCGAGTACATGGTGACTGAAACACAGCTCGCACTTCGCCGCAACGACCATTAATCATCCTACTCCAAAGCTGGTAGCACCGATGTGATTCATGATTCAATACCCGCTACACCGGCAAAGACAACATATTCATTAATACCACAACCTGAAAGTAGCAGCCATGGATTAAAAGGAATCCTGAATTCAAAACACCCACAACAACAAGACAAGGTGAATTTGAAGTTCCAACAGCAAATGACATATGATTCTATACCTGCAAAATCCACAAACAACACATCAAAGCCACAATGAACATGTTACTTTAAGATGGAAAATTGAGAAAATAACAAAGTCATTGTGAAAAGGGAAATATGAAGGTCGTTGCAACAAGTCATAATGTTTACATCCAGGCAACATTACGCAGCAGCTGCCCTGTGCCAAGCCATGAAAACTGATACTGCCCAAGATCAAACGCACAACCTGTGCCAATGTACTACACCAACCAGTACCATTTACAGGACAAAGAAAAAACTAAAGGATACTTTTGCCGGGTTGGTTCGCTGCCTTTCACTTTTGCCATGGAATATAGAAGAAACTGATTTGCAAAATAAGGATGATATTGGACAAAGGGTATTGCACGCTTTTGAAGCTGATAACTCTATGAGCTCTACTGGTTTTTCTCATATCATAGTGAAACTAAAGGATCTCGTGGCAATATTAATAAATAGTTTTCAAGAATTTACTACTTTGTTTAATGCTAAGGAGAATCTTGAAGGGAGGTCTTTTGGTTGTATGTCATCCATTCTTCATAGCATAGATCTTATAGTAAGGTCATTTGTTTATGGGATTGATAAGAAATCGGAATGCACAAGTTCTCAAAGTGGAGCCAATGTGGCTATATGGGATGTATCAGTTTCTTCTACATTCTTGAGGAAATTATTTCCTATTTTTCCTCTTGATCCAGGGCATGGTCTTCCACAAAAGGATTATGATAGGTTGCTTGACTTGAACTTGGTCATTGCAAAAATATTCTTTGAATTAAATGAATGGATCTGCCTTCCTCCTTTTTTGTTGGAGAAATTTCTAGAATTTCTTGAAAATGCACTTCTTGGGAAGTTTGGCAGAGCTGCACAGTCTGGTAAGGCTGTCTGGGAAAAGCATCTAATTCAACTCCTTCGTTTTATTCCAAAATTTCTTTCACGCGGAGCAAGCGACTGGACGTCTCGTCTTCTTTGGGCATTTACCCAGACATTTAAGGAAAGCAAGCCAGGTTCCTTATTAAAATTGGCCTGTCTCTCTGCAATGGAAGATATAATAACTCCTATCCAAACCATGCTTTCCCAGGAGACAAACAATCCAAAAAATGTAGAACTTCAAAAAGCTTTATGTGCTTGGATCGAAGAGCTTCCTCTGTTGCTTATTCAGCTTGGTGATAAACACCCACCAGCCCACGTATGAATTGTGCTCTCACAGCAAAATGAGGCAACACATTAATCTGTGAAATCTCTCCTGCCCATAATACCTGCCGCCTGCAGCATGCCATGCGAATTCATTTGCAAAACAAGGCAATAGTTGAGTTATATTCACAACAGACAAAATAATATTGGTAAAACTGTGCGATTTGCAAAATCATTCACAGCACAACAAAATCACAAACAGTACATCACACAGAAACGTAAGCAGAAACTGGCCAGACATGGAGGAGTGTTCATGAATTCCGTGTGGGCATATCAGTTTTTGCAATTCCTCTAGATGGTCACCACGGTGGTGCATCTGTTGCAGCTTGAAATATGGCTTCAATCTGGTTCGCGAGCTATACGAAGATGATATTCCATGTTGTTGCTTAATGCTAGCTTCGCCTGCCATGATCAATTATGTTTCCACGCATCGCTTACCGTGCAAAACAATAATTCCTACAAGCTGCTACACATCATGATACAGCTAGACCTGCACAAAATCATAAGCTCACATCCTGCAAATCAAGAGGAGAACGGTAATATGTAGAAAATACTCAAAACCCTCATGTTATCAATTTTAAATGAAAAAAATGAGAATGTGATGATGAACTTACATATCTCGGAGTGAGAAATCTGCAGCCGTTTGATATATGAACACCGAGTCTCAAGAGGAATCGTCAGCCAAGCTTCAATTCATTCCCAAGCCAAACAATTGCCTGCAGCCTGTATCAGTTCACAAACAAAAAAGGAAATAGTTAAAACCCCTACATCTTTTTTTAAATATAGTTACAAGTCAATTACCACAGTAAAAGTAAAGAAGGTGCAGTTACTGCAGTGAAAACCAATGGAGGTCTTTACCTCACTACAGACAAAAGAGGAGGAAAAACCTCACCTCAATCCTCCAGATACTCTCTCCATATAAAACCATATGAGAGATGACAGTAAATAAAAAACCTAATCTGAGGAGGGAGCCTCCAAACCCTAGTCACAAAACCCAGCAGCCTCCAAATGAAACCCTAATCCTCCTCCAACCATCAACACTTCAACACAAACCCAATCTGTTTCCAACACTCCAAACAACAGGATACAACTACAACAATCATCACAACCATCTCTCCTTCAAAGCTATCACACAATCCCAACAACAACTTCCGAAAATTACCGATAATCCTTCCATCAAACCTTTGTTGCTTCACTAACCCAAAACCGATTCATTCTTCGAACCCTTCTCGTGACAACCGTAACTCAGCCTACCCTTCACCTTAAACTTCATCAATTTCACCCTCTTCCACTCTCGATGTAACCCTCACGATTTCTGTTAACACCAACAATGTTCTTCTCACAATATTCTTCCATTCCTCCCTTTTCGTTACTCTTCAAATTCATCTTTTCTGAAACGTAAACAAACTTCAATAACTTAGCAAAATCTCTGCAGAAATCCAACGCATCAACATCCAAAATCGAACATATCCTCAACCTCCATCCACTTCTCATACCAGTCAACAATAATAACTTTCCTTGCTTCATCATTTACCAGAATCACACCATAAACCCGCAGCAACCCAAACGACATGCTCTCCCTGTTCCAAATCTTCAAACCGACATCCTTTTACTCTCATCCATCAACCTCAACTGTAAACAAAAACTTTCATCAAACAGATGGTAGGCAAGATTAGGGAACGATGAAGATACGACCCTATCGTTATTCGAACTGAACAACAACCGTCAGCTACCATCTCACTACACCATCCCATCTTCATACCTTCACAAAAATCCCCAGAACAACCCAATATTCTTTTCTTCAAACCATCTGGCCTCCTTCTTCAATGTCAATAAACAACAAACCAAAATCAGAATCCGAACAAAATTTAAAGCAGAGAAGATAAGAACCGAGAGATTCACGAAGGCGAACTCGTATCGTGGTGAGGCTCGAATCGAACCAAGCTCGAGGTGAAAGAGGGTTGATTTCTGAGTGATTTTTCTTTTTCGTTGCGTTTTGCTTCTGGAGAGCGTCGATTTTGATGGATTGGGTTTAGAAGAGGAAACAGTGGTCTGCTTGCAATCATTCAGTTCAGACTTAGGGATTGATTCTTAAAATTTGGGTTAGATTCTCTTTTAATTTTGTTGTAATTAATTTGTTAATACTTTTTCTTTTTAAAAAATAGTTGTTAATATATGTTAGAATCAGTGTGTTAGTTTTTTTTAATTAATTTACATAACATTCTTCTAAACAGGTTTTTTTACATTTATATTCTAGCTAGTTTTTTCTAAAAAAATTGTATTATATTAGATTTTTAAATAGTTAGTAAATTTATAATATACTTTGTTTGTAATTTATTTAGAAGTTTTTATAAGTTTATAATATAGTTTCATGTTTAGAGTTACAAATCTCTTTCCATTTTAGAAGTTAAGTCCATTTCGCATTTGTTATTGGACGTTTTGTCCCCTTTTTTATCTTTTTGGTCGATGACGAGACCTCCGTAATTCATTACCAGTCAAATTATTGATAAGTAATGTTGGATCTGAGACCACCTCTTTTCTCTCTTCATTACTTGTCCTGACTCGATTCAAAAACTTTGTCAAACAATTTTCAAAATCAAATTATCTTTGTATTGAATTAAAAAGAGGGGATTAAGTGTAGACTTTCTTCCTCTCCGAGTGTTGGGATACCCACTGTAGTGAGGGTGGTTCCGACACTCGTCTTTCAATACGAAGACGCTTCCCATCCATTTTCAAATCTCATCTCCTTAAAATCAATTCCTTGTATTGAATTAAAAAAGAGAGGATTGGGTGTAGACCTCTTCTTCTTCGAGCGTAGGGATGCCCACTGTAGTGAGGGTGGTCTCGATGCTCGTCTGTCAATACAAAGACGCTTCCAACATTTCCTCATAAAACCTCGGTCTCGTACTGAGTATACTTTCAATAATAAATTAATTTCTCTTTGTATCGAATTAAAGAGAGAAGATTGGGTGTAGACCTCTTCTTCTCCGAGTGATGGGATGCCCACTGTAGTGAGGGTGGTCTCGACACTCGTCTTTCGATACGAAGACGCGCTTTTATCCACCATCTCGCTTTCACAACTTCCTTCCACAATTTTCACACCTAAAACCTCGGTCACGTACCGAGTGCATTTTCAAATTCCTTTTCATACAAAAACTTGAATGGTCGTGGAGTGGTTAGGCGTAGGCCTTCTCCTATCCCGAGTGCTGACGTTTACCGTAGGGTTCTTTGTCGCAAAGCACTTACCATTCAAAACCAAAAATATCTTTAATAAGAGAACTTCGTTCTCTTTGCATTGAATTAAAGAGAGAGGATTGGGTGTAGACCTCTTCTTCTCCGAGCGTAGGGATGCCCACTGTAGTGAGGGTGGTTTCGACGCTCGTCTTTCAATACGAAGACGCCTCGTTCGCCACACCCTTTTATAACAAAAACTTTGAGATAAAGAATTGGGTACTACCCGTAGGGGTTACTATCCGAGGACCTATCTCTCCCCTAAAAAACAATTCAACCAATCAAACATGATACCTTGCCTCGCATGGCGAAAACCAAACTTTCAAACAGGATATGTTACGTTCGTTCTACCGCAAACAGGTGCGCATAAGTCTCCTCACATGC